TTCAGTGTGAGGTGAGCTTTTTATGAATTCCTAAGAATGATTATTAATTATATCGCGATTCAGGTGTATGTAAATAGTAGAAAGATGAATTCAAGATGAAAACCAAAGCTCATCATATCGAAGAAACTCTGATTTTTGTAGTAAGACGGACATCTAAAATGGAATATCGACGCATAGCATAGGTTCAATAACGAGCCAGTAGACAGGGAACACAGACTGATGAGACAACTTTCATAATCTGTTATGTATATATACACATACATACTCAGGTGAACACTGTAAACAAACAAGGGTGAAAGAGAGGAGACAACTGGAAGAAGAATACACTTAACGCCCTAGAATTCATTACTATTTTTGTAATCAGAAGCTTCATATACAAATGGTAATAATCACACATATAATCTATTCTTATCCTGAGAATTCTTTGCCATAACATATCAAACGGAAATCTCATCACAATTCGTTTTCAAGCGGCGTTTTTCAGACGCGTTAAACAACGCCTTCGTTGTACTGTATGCCTGGCCATAAACATCTAAAGGTGTCGCAGATCTATTGTAATTATGACCTACATAGAAAACGAAAACTACCACTCAACAGAACCACAACCACGCAACTCTGAAAATTTGCCTTTGTGTAACACGTGTCCGCGTCCCATTCCATTCAGTTGACCTCCAGTCGTAGGTTTCATGTTAGAATTTAGACGACTTAGACACAGATGAAATTTTATGCTGCTTTTATTTTTTCCTTAATTCATTAAAAAAATAATAGACGGGAACGATCATAAAATATTGTGTCATGTAAATGCTGTCTAAAAGCAAACGGTGAACAGTAATATGGATCGAAGTATTATTCCAATTCCGGTATGGATTTGATTGACTGTTTACAGGATTTCATCATGAAGTCATCATTTACAGAGCCATTGGAAAACATGCAGGGAGTGCTGGACAGCCAGCTGACTCTTCAGCAGCACGCACCCCTAAGAGCTTCTGGTTAAAAGGTCAGCTAAGTAGGCGCAATAATTTCACACAAGGTTATATGTAGGGAAACTGTAGCAGCGTTTATAATGTCAGCTGACAACACGTATAAAGGTGTGTTCAAATGCCAATTTCATGACTTACACAAAGAAATCTGATAATGACGCGACAAAGACTTTGTCACTTTCTCTACATCAGTAGTCGAGTGGTAGACTTACACTGCAGCAGTATAAATCCGCCGAATTCACTAAACCATCGGTAGTATCAATATGTGGTGTGTATATATATAGGGAGAAAAGAGAGAGATGTAATTACCGCGATGTTATTCAATCGATTATTCTCCATGATTCATAGTGAAACGACAGAAGGCAAGAGTCAGTCAACATATCGTTTATTAAGGAAATCAACACATATTTATAGATTTTCATGTACATATTATAGACTATTGTTAGCAGAAAAGCACAGTCTCCTGATTGGTTGTTTCTCACACAAAATTAACCTTGCATCTCTCTGTGGCTGTTTCTTGAATGTCAGACCCTCTATATGTTAGCTGTATCCGCCTACGCAAAGCCTTTCTTCTCATTTTTCTCACGACCAATATTGGGGACATAAACATTGACGTAAATTACTGGCCACCAATTTCGACTAACAGTCAGCTCTCACCACAATAGTAACCTCCGATCTTAGTCATGATGAAAATAAAATAGTTTGTCAGGCACATTTTCCAAACCCGTCAGCAACGTTCCTGTAGCGTATGTATGACTGTGATGAGTACCTAAGATTGTCATAAACAGATTACTTTTTCGAGATTTATGCCACCCAAAACGTGCCACTTATCCCCTAGGGGGGGGGGAACTGTAATCCATCACCAGGGACCATAACTACACTCCATAAAGATATAACAGAAGCCACACCTTAACAAAAAACATTACACCCACCATTATGAGCTATATAAAGTCTCCTTTGCTATTGTGAATTACTTAAGAAAATCGCCAAAAATACTCAGAACAACTATGAACGTCGGTGGTTCACTGATAAGATGGCACCAGACGCCGTCCCAGTTCGATTTCCAACCGACGGATTCCTAAACCTTGTTCAACCTACAGGCAGTAGTAGATCCGGTAACAAGCGGAGAGCTAACAATCCCACCACTCCGTATTAACAATACCATCACACCACTGAAACTAAAAAGCTGAATTTCCAGGATTTCGTTCTTTGGGAAATTGGTTTGTTTTACAAGTTCGATCAGTTGGAGGACCACCAGGAAGTAATAGACAGTTTGGGGCCCACCAGAAGTACAAACTCACAGTCGGGTTCGAACCCAGGACCTACCGCTTGAAAGTCAAGCTTGTATACCATTCAGTCAGTGGGACCCGATTCAATGGCCCATGATTTCTAGCTTCTACCAATTCGTAATTTTAGCGCAACTTACACTAGCCGATGTCATGTTCTCACTCCCGACTTGGTGGACCCTACTGAATGGTGCACAAGCTAGCTCAACTTGTAACCAGAAGGGGTCCTGGAATCAAATGGCCACAATGGGTGCGTGCTGCCGATGGGTCTCGAAACGTCGACGACACAGCTATACAGTAGCCCCCAGTGATGACGGCTTTCACAATAATTGTCTAACTGATATCAATCAATCCATGATCTAGCTTTAAAAAGCTGAATCTTGAAACTCCGTATGCCAATAATCGGAAGGCAAAAAGCAATTCAACTACCTCTATGAAACAAAGTAAATCCCCCAACTGGTGATCTGACCAACCCCACCTGCAAGCCACCCGCCCCACCCCTCGGCTTACAATCCACACATTCACAAAAGAATGGCAGACAAAAAAGACTACTACTTTATATCAGTAGTATGTATATATATAAGCAGACAACTACTTAATCATTAGTAATATTTTTAACAATAACACTACTAAGTGTGTAATATGTACAAAAGAACAAACACATTGATACTTCTTTTTTGAATAAAACACTCACATACACATACACCAGTCTTTGAAAAAGTGAAACAGACAAAGAACGCCAGAGCAATAACAAATCACATCGAAATTGAACAGGTTGTTACGTAACTGATTGATTGATTGAGTGAGTGACTGGTTAATTAGTCAGTCAGGTGAGACTGGCTGACCGACTGAACCAATTCTCCTCTTGCCCATACCCACCCACTCCTCCTAAGAACGAGAAAATCGAAAAACAAACATTGACACAAATGAGATCAGCTGTGTACGGAGTGAGAGAAAGAGTTAAGCAATTTAGAAAAAACAAACAACAGTAAGAAATAAGGTGGAGTGAGGTGGAGGAGAGGGAGATAAGGGTGGGAAGAACGGAGAGAACAAAAGAACGAGACATAAAAACAGACACAAACACGCACGCACGCACACACACACGTAGGGACATGTAGGTAGGATTGGAGAAAAGAGGCATGAAAATACAGACGAGTTGTAGTAGTTGTGTAGAGTGTAAAAGGGATTTTTGCTTGTGTCTGTGTCAATTGGGTCTTTACGCCAAAAGATGGCCATGGATGGGGAAATACGTCAATGACAACCATAATAATAATAATAACAATAAGGATAAAATAAACTTTGTCGTCACTTTGTTCATTTTTAAAAAAAAGACAGAAATATAAACAAGACGACTCGACTAATTGTGAGTATTTGCTGTTACTAATACTACTATTACTGATATCAGTAATGTGGTGGGAATTTGCTAAAAAATAAAAGAGTCAAAATACAATAAATCCACAACCCCACCACATATATAAACAACATCACCATCACACAACTACGAGCACCAGTACAAATAAAAATGCATACAATCAAACTCGTAGTAAGACATTCATTCGACGTCATCATCGTAGTCGTCGTCGTGGTGATGGTGGTGGTGGTGCGGGGGGGGGCAGTAAGGTTAAAATTCAATCGATAAAAAACTAGCACTGTAAAAGTAAGTGTATGTGCGTGTGCGTGTGTGTAAAATATACACGAAAACAGATCTGTGCTCTGGAACCGCATCATGTGTACATGGGAGAAGAAGAAAGCCGGAGGATAAAACACAAGAGACACAATAAAAAGCATATAAGAAGAAAACGAAAACAACAAACAAAACAAAAAGACCAGAAGTGAAATTCATCATCACCTGATCAATCGGTCTGATCTGTAGTCATTCGTCGTTTACGTCAGATTATTTGGTTATTGTTCTTCTTGTTGTGTTGTTGAGTGAGTGAGTAATCATCATCATCACCAATCAATCAATCAATCGATCAATAAATCAATTAATCGATCAGGGTAATGTGAGTTCACATTATTGTGCAAAAAACTCAACTCTTAAGAGTTGTTGACATAATTAGTGTTATTATGATCATCATTAATTATTATTTACACAAAAGGCGCAGAATAAGGTCGAGTCAGTCAGACGGTCAGTCAAATATAAATAGTATATATATTAATTTATATGTATCATAGATTCAGAGAGAAAAAGAAATGGTATAATTATACACACACACACGCCCACGCAACTATGCAATGCGCATACAATTAACTACCCGTCATAACTATGAAATGTAAACAGTAAATAATAACACGTATTTACGGTAGTAGTAATAATAATAATAACAGTAATAGTAATATTAATTTAAAAAAAAGAGATACTCAGGGAAGGAGAGAGTGGGAGAAAGAGAGAGAAAAGGGGAGATACAAACAATGGGGTAATACTAACTAATGTGTGTGTCTGTACGTACGTGTATGCGCGCGCCTACAAAAAAAATAATAAATCGGCGGAATACAAAACAAACAGAAGGACAAGCGCTTTAACGATAACATAACAACAATGCGTTGTTAGTAATGTAGAAATGAAACGAATTCCCCCAGCCTCCCTCCTTTGCTTACTTTTGCTACACCCAAAAACATAGATTGAGAGAGAGAGAGAGAGAGGATACAGACACACCGATTAATCCACCCACCCACGTCACACACACACATAGAATATACACCACACACACACTAGTGTGATTATTAATTATAATTATTTTCGAAATGCATTATTGCCAGTGCCAATTTGTCCTTGAGGAGGAATTATAGGCGTTGTAAAATTATCTCCAACAGACTGTCCACCACTACCACCATTCATACCACCAGTTGCCGGTATACCACCGCCGCCAGCACCACCGAAAGATTCTGGATGAAGTCTTAAATGGTATAAATTGTGCGGATGGTGATTGCCAAATGCCGATTGTTGCTGTTGATGGATTTGATTACCACCGCCACGCCAATCATCATTGTCTGCGGTTGTTGAGACATTAAATAAGCAGTAGTACCCTGTTGTGTGGAAGTATGATGATGAGGTATAGACTGGATAACTTGACGTTGTGCAGCAGTTTGTTGAAGTTGATTAGCATTATTACTGTTTGTACTGGATTGATGAGTTGTCTGCTGTTGTTGTTGTTGTTGAGGTAAACAACAAACATTTTGAGATTGTTGTTGTTGTTGTATAATACAATTCGGATCAATAGAAGGATATAAATTTGAATTAGTCGGTTGACCACAGACACCGCCGCCAGGATTATTACTTGTGTTCGTAATATTACTACTATTATTGTTAGTAGTATTGTTTGCAAGAAACATATATGGAGGAATATTAGAATTAGGATTAGTGAATTGTGATGCAGTTAACTGGGGTGATTGTGTAATGTTCTGTTGCTGTTGTTGTTGTTGTACAGATTGATTATAATATGGAGTTAACGAATTATTCGACGTCTGATGATGAGTTGGCATATTCTGCATATGCTGTTGTTGATGATGATGGTGATGTTGGTGTTGATGTCCAACGACAGCTGATGCAACAGCACCAGTCGATGAGACTGTCTGATGTTGATGATGATGATTATTGGTTGATGATTGTGATTGAAGACTCATGACTTGAAGTGACTGAGCAACCATATTCTGGGCAGCTGGTAGACAAGACGCTGGCATACCACGTGGATAGGCGGTCACTGCGCCAACACCTTGTTGAGTGAAACCTGAACGTGAATTTGTGGCTGCTGCAGGAGTTGAGGAATTATTATTATTCATAAGTGAGGCAGACACCTGTTGAGTTGTTGTATAACCAGGATTACCGGAGCCAAGTTTGTTGCGAGCTAAAATAATAACAAAAAAAAACAGGTTACAGAGAAACTATATGCCAGAATGAGAAATATCCAACAACGAAAAACATTCCCTACACCTCCGGTGTGTTAATAAATACCTGAAATCTTCACTGAAGCTTTCTTTTTCAATGTCATCTACATAAAACTTCAATTTATTAAGAAAGCATTTCTTCAAAGTTGGCTCCCTTAAGACGAAAAATCAATCGACAACGAATATCTATGAATTTCAACTGTTAGTTTGCAGGGTTTTGATTTGATTGGTAACAGAATTTCACCATGAGCCCACATCAGTTAGAGAATCATTGGAAAACCAGTAGGAGATACTGGACAGCCAACAACTTTTGTGGTGAGAGCTGGATACCAGCCAAAAGTTTTTTTCCTTCACGTTCCCCAGTTGAACATAGGGCTTCAAGCTAGTGGCTTGAAGTTCCTGTAGCAGTGTTTATTTTACAGGATAGGGTTGCTATCCTCATGCCCAACCTTTCCTCTTTAACAGCATTATTTCTGGCTTAGCAAGGTAAAGGAATGCGTCTGTGGCCGGGGATCGAACCCCGGACCATGTGCATAGTCGGTGGGCGTCCTAACCGCTTTGCCACCGACGCACAAAATCCCTGCCCCCAGAGATTGGTATACAGTAGTTTACGTCAATGTTCACGTCATGAGAAAAATAAGAACAACGACTGACCCAACAACCAATCACAGGAGACTTTGCGTAGGCGGATACAATTTGCAAATAGATAATCTCAACTTCAAAAACGGCCACAAAGAGATGAAAGATTAACGTTCAGCGAGAAACAACCAATCAGAAGACTGTGTTTGTTTGCTTACAATAATCTATGATAACGTACATGAAAATCTATAAATAAGTGTTGATTTCCTTAATAAACGATCTGTTGCCTGGCCCTTGTCTTCTGTTGTTACACATTGGGTTGGGAGTCTTCATTAGTGCACACCCTACACAAGGGGTTTGAATCTAGACCATCTGGTTACAAGGCAAGCTCTTAGACCAATCAGCCACTGGGACCTGACCCAATGGCCAGTCCGTGAATCCCAACCTCTGCCAGAAAATTCATGATATGATGCGACCACTAGCGCTAATGTCATCGTTGGCGCGTACCTGTCCTCACACCAACTACAAAGTAGTCACTTAATAACTAACTAGAACAAGTAATTTGTAGTCTAGTAAAAGCTGAAGTTGACTTTTACCGTCATTTCGTTAGCATGAAGTGTACAAGAAGTAGTCCATCTACCAGGAGAGAAGGCTGTCGAGTGGTTGTGCCACCGGATGGGACTGCACGCTGTTCTAGTTGTAATGAGTGTGAATTCAGTTCTGCTGAAAACCAATGTACAATTTATAAACTTTATTTCAGACAACACGTGAACGCACACAGTACAGAAATATTCATGGTATTCACTTGCAAAATATTTCCTCTTCATATAGGATCTACATGTACAGTAATAATCTGAAGTATATCGTGTGACGTAGTTTGCTGCATATGAAGAGAGAGCCAATTCCATACATTTCCGCTTCATTTACTTCAAGAATCCAGGAAGTTTAGTTAGAAGCTAATTAAATATGCGCGTGAGTTCATGTAGCGATCATTTATTATAAATGCATGATTAAAACAATAGGAAATACAGAAGAGTGCAAGCATTTCGACGGATGCAAATTCTAGTAGCCGACTGATTGAAGCCGGTCGCCAAACTATACTGAGATACTTGAAGATTATCCAGTCAGTGGGACAGTGTCACTGAGTTTGTGTGTACATTTCTAAATACGCGAACTTGTTTGAAGAGCATAACAAAATACCAAAGTGGTCATATAAATAACAATAAAATACTAACGGATTCATCCCTGTTTGCACACGTTAATCTTGAGTGGCGAGTCAACTAGCATAGTAACCACATGACACTAGTGTGGTGCTCGGGAAGCACAAACACGAGAGAGCCAGGAAGAGGGTGTATTGATCATATCTTCACCCTCCGACAGATTCTAGAACATAGTCATTCCTACCGGCGTCCAACAGTCATTATATTTCTTGACCTAAAGGCAGCATTCGACTCTGTCGATCGGGAAGTTCTCTGGAGATGCTTGGCTGTAAAGGGAATTCCGAGAAAATATATTGCACTGATTAAGGCACTCTACTCGTACTCATACAGCCAGGTGAGGGCTTACGGCGAGCTGTCATCTGAACTGATGACGACCAGTGGTGTCCGTCAAGGATGCCCATTATCTCCTTTTCTATTCAACTTCATCATAGATGTGTTAATGGACTTAACCCTAGGTGACTTCAGCGACTCAGGGATTGACTTGCTACCGGGGAATAATCTCGTTGACTTGCAATATGCAGACGATATAGTCCTTCTAGGCGAAGACGCTGACGAAATGCAGAGTCTTCTAAACACCTTGAGCCGCAATCTACGAATGTTTGGCATGCGATTCGCTCCAGCCAAATGCAAGATGATGTTACAGGACTGGACTACATCGATGCCTAGTTTAAAAATAGGAAGTGAAGTGGTAGAGCACGTTGACCGCTTCACTTATTTGGGAAGTACCATCAGCCCCAACGGGCTGATCTCTGACGAAATCTCAGCACGAATACAAGGGGCTCGTTTCGCATTTGTTAGTTTACGCCGACTCTGGCGTAGACGAGATGTTCGACTATCGACCAAAGGGCGGGTGTACTGCTCATCAGTCCGCTCCGTCCTCCTTTATGGCTGTGAGACCTGGTCACTGAGAGTGGAAGACATGAAAAGACTAGCTGCCTTTGATCATAGGTGCCTCCGCTCTATTTCCCGTGTAAAGTGGCATAATAAGGTGAGCAACATTGAGGTTAGGCGTCGAGTTCTAGGTAAACAGGGGAAATCAATCGACGAAGTCGTGAAGCTACAAAGACTGAGATGGTTAGGACATGTGTTACATATGCCAAGCCATCGCCTCCCTCGACGAGCAATGTTGGCGGATATAGGGTCAGGCTGGAAAAAAGCTAGCGGCGGTCAAACAAAAACAAACCACAGTCAATGAAATCCACAACAGTTGATCTAAGCCACGTAGGAAGGTGTAGACTTCCAGGCTGGGGTCCTCGGGACGGTAAAAATCTATGGTTGGAAACAATTGGTGACATGGCTCAAAATCGTTCTCAGTGGCGCAGATGCATCCACTCCTTGTGACTTATGATCTCCAATGAAACTGTTTTGTTTTTCTTTATTACTCATTTGTCTCACACCTCTGCTCACTGTTTCTATTATGCTTTTCTTGTACTTTCTTCTCTTGCTTCGCGTGCTACACGGAATGTGGCGACTTGAACTTCCGCACATTTGTGCAAAGTTCTATGTCGAAAACAGACAGACAGACAGACATGACACTAGTTAATGTCCGATAAGAAGTATCCAATACAGTCCTACAGGAGGTTGATAGCGAGCTAGGAGAGCTCAGTGAGAATGTCTCTGATTGCATCACTGGTTGAAGTGGGTTCGAATCTCAGAAGAGAAATGAGTTCCTCCAAGACTGGAGATACTCCGCCTTACTGGCGAGTGCCAAGAAGCACAAAAACCTACGAAGTCGAAGGCTTCCTGCCGATTGCCTCTAACGTGCATGTAATAGCAACAATCCTGAGTGTACTGTGATACCGAGCCAGCAAACCAGTGGCATGGTAGCCACATTGCAAATTTGACTGATACAATTCAGTCTGCAGTAAGTATACAAATGACTGAACACATGACACTAGTTAATGTCAAATCAAAAGTTTTTTTTCTTAGTAATATTTCGTATTCTGAAAGAGAGACGACTAACAACAAGATCTATATTCATTAAGGTCATCCTGGATACATGTGGCAAGGGTGATGAGACTCAACACAACTGTCAAACAAATTGGAATATAATTCTGGATAGATAAAAGCAAACGAATAAAAAACATAAACTATATATATGATTACAAATCATAAATGTGTGAATTAAAAAACAGAACAATTCCAACACTTAATGTAACCGATCCACGAGCAGTAATTTTGCGCGAAATATATTACCAAAACATAATCCTATTGAAATATTGGTTTGTAGGGACTTGGTTGATTGTTTACAGGATTTCATCATGAGCTAATATTGGTTAGAGAACCATCGGAAAACCTCGGAGTACTGGACAGTCGTTTCGTACTAGTTTGAGACTCTTCACCAGTACGCACCCACCGAAGTTCGAATCCAGGATGTTCTGGTTACAAGGCCAGCTAACTTGTAGACCATTCATCAGCCACTGGGACCCGATCCAATGGCCCATGAACACTAACTTCTGCCAATTCACGATATAGTGCAACTGCTAGCCAATGTCTTCCTCACACCCGACCTACTGCACCCTGGGCCATTGGATTGTATCCCAGTGGTTCAATGGTACACGAGCTCGCCTTGTAACCAGAAGGTCCTGGGTTCGAACCTCAGTGGGTGGGGAGTGCGTACTGATGAAGAGCCCCAAAATAGAACGAAACTGCTGTCCAGTACTCCCAACCTTTCTAATGGTTCTCTAACCAATATCAGCTCATGATGAAATCCTGTAACCAAAAACTTATTATTGTGTGTAAACTACTGAAACATAATCATAATTTACTTCAAGAAGTAGTGATTACAAGTTTTGGTTCGATCACCTAAAACTCTCTTTTCCTACCTACCTAATCATTTTCTTTTTTCACAAATAACAGTGCTCATCTATGAAGAGGATGTCTGAATGTAGGTAAAGCATATCCTCTACTTTTCTCAATCGATATACCTCCACAATTCCGTCGACTGATTTAGCTTCCTTACCCAACACTTATAGCACATAACGACAGGGTAAAACAGATGGCAAACAGATCCGTGACTAAAAACACCCATCAACCATATAATTATTGATTCTCCCACTTTCAGTGATCATGTCTCAAAGCCACAAAAAAAAGCAGGGCAAAGTGAACTGCTACGCAGTCAGTCAGTCGTCCTCTATAGGAAATTTCTAAATGTATTATTTTTTTTCCTTCACGTTCCTAGTGGAACATAGGGCTTCAAGCTAGTGGCTTGAAGTTTCTGTAGCAGTGTTCATTTTTACAGGATAGGGTTGCTATCCTCATGCCCAACCTTTCCTCTTTAACAGCATTATTTCTGGCTTAGTGAGGTAAAGGAGTGCGTCTGTGGCCGGGGATCGAACCCCGGACCATGTGCATGGTCGGCGAACGTCCTGACCGCTATACCACCGACGCACTCTAAATGTATTAAATGCATACTAATCGACACATGTAAATATAGGAAGCTTCTTCAATCAATATACCATTGGTATTTATTCTCTTTGTCAAGTAACCCTTGAATTACGGTATTATTATTGTTATTTGTAGCCGTTATAGAAAATTATCAGACTAGAATGTATGCGACAGATGAACATTTCGGGTGGTTGCGTTCTCTGAGCTGGATAGTTAATTTGCGAAGCTTTCATCGAACCACTACTAGGCGACATCTTCAGCGAATACTTCAATCTGTCGAAGTGAGTTTTTAGATTTTTCCACGAGTTTATTAAACATCTCTCCTGGTGGATGACTTTGGACGTGATTGGTTGTTTTTGTGTGTTTTCACACCTTCTAGGTCACTTGTATTGGAACTGATTGTTTCTTTGACTTGAACTTTGACCCTTTGGGTATGAGGTCTCCTCCTTATCGGTTGATAAATTTTGTCTGGATGTGCCTCGATGTGACACATCCAGACCTTTATCAACAACTGTCTTCGCTCCATGCTGAAGATCAGATGACCGGGCCGGAAAGAATCACCAACAAGAAACTACGGAAACAAACAAAACAAGAACCAATCGCCAACCAACAAATATGCAGGAGAAAGTGGAGATGGATTGGACACTCGCTGAGGAGGCCGTCGCTGGGTGACATTGCGCGCGCGTCAGGCCATCGTTCGAGTGGAACCAAGTCGAAAGGGAAGCGGCGAATGGGACGTCAGTGCAAAAGTGACATGGAGGAGGCCGTGTGAAGAGGAGTTGAAACAGTATGGACTAAAATGGATGGAGGTGAAAAGTACAGCAGAAGACAGAAGGAAGTGGAGACGGGCAGTTGAAGCCCTATGTTCCACTAGGAACCCAAGGGAACAATAATAGTAATCAATCAATAGACACATCGAGACAGACAAAATTTATCAACCGATATGGAAGAAACCTCACACACACACAAAGGGTCAAAGTTCAAGTCAAAGAAACAAATCAGTTTCAATACAAGTAACCTAGAAGGTGTGCAAAAACACACAAAAACAACCAATCACGTCCAAAGTCATCCACCAGGAGAGATGTTTAATAAACTCGTGGAAAAATCTAAAAACTCACTTCGACAGATTGAAGTATTCGCTGAAGATGTCGCCTAGTAGTGGGGCGATGAAAGCTTCGCAAACTAACTATCCAGCTAGCTCAGAGAACACAACCACCCTAAAATCATCCACCTGAGCTATAAATCTTCCTATCATATCTAGATGAACATTTACCATGCATCCCACCTCTAATAAGACCGAAAACAAAACACGAACACACACATACAAACACAAACAGGCGACTAACATACATTTAGCCTTTTCATCATGATGATGACCTCGAAGAGATGCTTTAACATTTCCTAGTGCCCTCTGCTGTCGTATTGTTTGCTGTTGAGTGTAATTCACAGCCAAAGAGATATTGGCATTTGCATTGTCATTCGTATTATTATTGTTATTATTATTATTATTACTTGTATTGTTTACAGCGTTTTGATCATTTCCAGAGAATTTCAGCAAATTCCAATCAAATATACAATCGTATGTAAATCCTTCCCGGTGGAATAGACTACGAAATAATTGACGACAATAGGAATAATCTGGTTCATTGTCGAAACGCATTCCCCGACAGTAATTCAAATAGACAGCCATTTCAACTAAAAATACACCAAGAAAAGAAAGTAGAATTAAATTTTTTTTCTCCTTAAATAGTTCATTTATTAGAAATTGAAATGAGAAAACAGCCATGTTTAAACTACCAGGCGTCTGCTACTGACAAGCTTTATCAGTAGTATAAAAACACAGATTGATAAGAACTAGTAACCAAAATTGAAAACAACATTTAAAGCCAGTGGCTATGGAAGTAGAAGCGTTTATTCCTTAAATATGGATATAGCTCAAGTTGTGGTCAGGAAATAATCTCATTGGACAAACTAAACTTGAATGCGGCGAAAATGTGTAAATATGGTTCTTAATAAAAAAAAGTTCATTACCAAAACTCTTGTCTTCTCCTGTTGTTGTTGGTGGTGGTGATGTTTTTACACCGCACACAACATGAACTCACCACAAAAGTATCTTTGGGGAATTGATTTTCAATCTCCTGTTGTGCACTTCTTGAAGAGGAAAGAAAATGAAGGGAAAATTGATGTAGAGAAAAATGAGTGCTCTTCCCGAAAGAATGACGCCGATCGATGAATACCGAATTTACTTGAAGATTCTATACGGCAGCGATGGAGTGGAAGGTGGAGGGAAGGAATTCTTAAACAGATGATTGAATATCAAGTAGTCATCGTTTCGACCGAAAGCTGCTACCTTGACGCGGTGATCGGGTTGAACACCGCAATGACCCAACAAGCTATACTGGCTGAGACTTATGTCACTTGAGGTCTTACCATGCTAGAAAGGTTGTTTGGATAGCGGTTAGACAAAAAGCAGCTACCCAATCCAATTGTATGACTCAAACCAATTCATAAAATACCATGCCGGATCGGCCGTGGCCCGGATTAACAACGAACGCACTTCCTGCTGCCGTGTCACAAGGCAGCAGTGATAAATATGCTGCTGAGACACACCAATTAAAAAAGAAAAAACAAAAACAGGCCGCGTGTGACCGGTGTCAAGCAGTTGTCCCCTGGGCTCTGCGGTCACGCAACACTCTCTGTTTCAGGTACCCGAACAGTAATCTATAACAACACGCTGATGTAGTACTTACGAAGAAATGCCAAGGCTCAAGAAATATACAACTACTTAATACTTTTAAATAATAAACCGGAATGTAGAGATGTCGCTTACTGTCTAGTGGGAGTTAGCTTTCAGCCAACGAACACTCAGGCTCAAATCCCACTTCAACCCGGACAGATGGATAGTATCATCAAAAACCTTTGGAAAGATTTAAGAGACTTTCAGTCTGTTATTAATTAACCAGTGTTAATTTGAAACAAGGCTACTTTCTATCACCAATCATATTCGTGATCGTGGTGAACTGGATCATGCAACGAAAACACTGCAGGTAGCGTGAAGACTGAAGTAGGCTGGACCGACAGGAAGACGCTAAAAGATCAGAACTTCGCGGATATTTTATATTTAATGTCAATAGACTCGAAGGTCCACAAGCAGCGAAAACCGACAAATTGACAGAAGAAGAAGATAGCAGCAAAGATAGAATTTCATGTGAATACAGAAAAGACAGAAGTGATCAAGATAATTAACCATCAACAGGAGAAATTTGAACGAGTTCATTTCTCTCACAATTATCTAAGCAGTATAGCTACGACTACAAACTGAACCAATGAAGATATCAAGACCAGAATCGAAAAGGCAAGAAAAACATTCACTACATTGAAATCAGTCTAGAAGATCTGTTGCATTCAGAATTAGGAACAAGGTTACAATTTCCAACACTAAAATGTCAATGAAGTGAGTTCTCCTCTATACGGTTCAGAGATTTGGCGAATCAGTAAAAACATTTTCAACAGGCCAGCCAATGCAGACTTTTATCAACAGCAACAACAACAGACAACAATCAGCCAGCATGAATTGGAGGAACCTGAAAAAAGCAACCTCCTTTACCTACCTGGGAAGCATCGTTTCAACTACACGCCCACGGGACTAATGAGGATATCAAAGCAGCGAGGATCGGGAAAGCAAGACAAGCTTTCATTACTATCAAGTCTGTGTGGAGGTCAACAGCACTCCCCACAACATCAAAAATAAGATCCAGATTTTCAACTCCAATGTGAAGTCAGTCAGTGCTACTAACTATATGGATCAGAGACTTGCACTGCGCGTCATAAAGAGCACCTCAAACAAACTACAGACCTTCATCAACAACTAGCTGTCTTCGCTCAATACTACTCAAGATCAGATGATCGGCCAGAAAAGATCACCAACAGGCATGGATCTCTGGTAATCAGCGAACCAACAGAGCAGGAACCGATTATGAAACAAATAGGCAGGGAAAAATGCAGTTGATGGATTGTCCATACTCTGAGGAAACCATCAAGTGACATCACTAAACAAGCCATTGCTCGAGTGGAACCCGACCGAATGGGAAGCGGGGAGTTGGTCATCAGTGCAAGGGTGACTTGGAGGAGGTTATGTGAAGAGGAGATGAAAGCATGTGGACAGACTTGGAGCCAGGTGAAGTCTCTAGCAGAGAACCGAAGGCAATGGAGATGTGGGGCTGTAGCCCTTTGTTCCTCTAGGAATTAAAGGGAATAATATTAATAATCAACAGCTTCCTTCGCTTGATCCATACTGAAGATCAAATGGCCAATCAATCAGAAAGGAATGGCAACACGGAACTCTGTCACTAGAGAGGACCAACCAAGAAGCTACTGGCCAACAAATATGCCAAAGAAAATGGAGATGGATCGAAAACACACACACGCTGGGGAGACCGTTGAGTGACATTCCGCATTAGTCATAACCTCGAATGGAACCCGAGTGAGAAACGACGAGTTGGGTGTCGCTTCGCAAGTGACATGGAGGAGGAGGAGAAGGTCGTGTGATGAGAAGACAAAAGATCATAGGCAATAATGGAGTCAGCTAGAGACGAAACAGCCGTTCTCCTTCGCTTCAATCTGGTTGTCCAGCAAGTGCTGTTGACTGGTAATTGCGACTGGTGCAGACAGCTACTCATTCCGATCAATCAGTAGTATATGTAATTTAAACATTTTTCTTAACGGAAAACGTCAAAAAAAACCAAAACAATAACGAACTTTGTTAAGAGGCATACACAAACACACAAGTGCATTATATGGATCACTGAAGGTGAATATAATACACAGTTTACCCATTTTACAGAACAATAACACATACCTGGATAACCTTCGCATAATACTTCTACTGGGGTTTGCATTTTTTTCTCACTAATACGTTCATATTTTTGACGTTTAGTACCAGCTTTTAAACCTTGCCATGGAAGACTACCACGTAAGAAATACATTAATACATAGCCCAACGATTCCATATCATCTCTGCGTGCTTGTTCTAATCACATAAATAAAACAAGAAATAGAAAAAAACGAATAAATATGTGGGAGCAGATCGAAAGCCGAAGAAATGTTGATAAAATTCAACACTCATGCCATCCAAATCTCAATTTTACAGTAGAACACGAGGAAAACGATACTATTAAATTCATTGACGTTTTTCTAGCAAAAATGAATGATGGTACAATCGAAAGATCTATATTTAGAAAGTCTTCATGGACAGAACAGTACATGCATTTCAAGAGCTTTGTTCCAATCCAGTATAAAAAGAACTTCGTCAGAACACTGTTCAATAGAGCACGAAAAATTTGTTCTGACAGTTCTATTGAGCATGAAATAAATCTCTGAAGGATATTTTATCTAAGAATGGATACCCCGAGAAGTTCACTAACAAATACTCTTAAGAAACTACCCCTGCAAAACAATTCAAAAAATACCAAAGAAACCTGTCTATATCAGTTTGCCATTCAAAGGAGATGATGTACAGGAAGTAGTCAAACGAAGACTCGACAAAGCCATCAAGAGAACTTAGTATGCTGCGAAACTTGTCATCCTTAATACCACCAGGAGAGTGCTTCAACAATCCGGGAGAGACCAGTCGCCAATCCTCGAAACTTCAAACTGCGTATACCAATTTGAGTGTGTTTGTGGAAGCAAAAACATAGGTCGTACAGAAAGGCGATTGTCCACTCGCATGATGGAGCATTTGCCAAAATGGTTGATAACGGCTGAGTGTAAAGTGCAAAAATCCTTAATAACAAATCTTGTGGACTACGGACATGATATCGACACGGTCAAGTCATTCACTATTGTCAGCAGACAAAGAAACAAGAAGATGTTTGCAATTGCAGAGGCTTGTGCAATCCGAGTTTATAAACCAGGTCTGTGTACAAAAGGAGATGGTCGTGACTCTGAATCTACCATGGTGATACGTTTTACTTATTATTCTACCTCTTATTATTATTATCATCATTATTATTATTCTTGATTCATTTAAAACTAACCTTTATCAGTAGGATTATCTTAACTCACTTCAAAATTATTATTAATGTTATTATTATTATCGTTATTATAACTATTACTACTGGTATTACTCTGATTGCAATTCTTGTTATATTCTCTAGTGACTAATTGTTTATCTAAGTGATGTAATTGAACCGTAATGCAATTTATCTTAATTTGATCTCTCATACCCCCTCCCCCCTTATCTATTTGAACATGACCTGGAAAACATTCGCACCTGTCTATCTGTATGACTAATTCAATGTAGTTTGTTTACTTATCAATCTTATATCTCCCAAGGTAATTTCAAAAGTATATATATCCATGTATGTAGAATATTCAGCTGAGGAAGAGTTCTACCGAAATTTGATGAATTCATTAAATCCTGCTTTACTAATCTGCTCTATTGCTTGTTTTAAATTCGTATCGAGAAATAAATGTCTTCAATTTTTAAATATGAAAAATCAGTATGTAAATAAGAAGCCAAGAGATCAATTAGTTGTGAGTGGTTGAGCTCAGTAGGCAAGATTCAGTAGCACTTAACAGCCGATGATATATATATATATATATATATATATATATATATGCACATAGGACACTTTAGGAACTAGTGTAATGTGTCTTGTCCCCGGTGTTAGTGACCACTGATTTCTACCATTCAAGTTTGCAATGTGGACATCATATCACTACTAGGTGGCGGCTGCTCGTAATCACGGTACACTGCGAATTGTTGATATAAGATGGTTGGAGGCGATCGATTTGGAAGTCTTAGAGACCTAGATCTCATGGTTGTTGCCAGTCACCACAAACCAGCAAGGCGCATCTACAACCTTGAGGGAACACTCATGTCCCTTGTGAGAATCGAACCTGACAGAATTCACTCGGTACCTAACAAAGGATTACATACATTAAAAAGGGTCAATCGCGAACCCGAATAGCTCAGTGGTATAACGTGTCTCTGAACACAGTACCGGGTAACACGGGTTCGAATCTGAGAAGAAGTATGAGTTCATGATTTCAGATACACCTTGCTGACTAGCGAAGGTCGACAAGCGTAAAAACTACGTCCAAGGCTTCCTGTCGATTGTCTCTAACCGTCTAATATATCAACAATTATAACGTAGTACACACGCATGACTGCATAGATCAACTAACTACAATCCCAATGATAGATCAATCAATAAAATCACAACAACACTCACCAGAACCAATATGTCTCATACACATCAGTATAACAGTAAGTGTTATATGCTTAAAAAACATCTTTCTTCACTGATTGATTGATCACAGTCTTAATTTAATATAAATATCGATCTATTTATCACAATGAGTAACAATAAAATAAATCCAAGGGAAATTTACAGAAGCATTAATTTCAACAAATATTCTGTCGAATGAAGGGCGGCTTATACTAATGATTGAATGAAATGAGAAGTTGAATACTACTCAAATCAATCGGCAGTGCTTGTCATAGCTACATGGAAGTGATCTACACACCGCACTGCAGTTTAGGTTCTAATGTGGTGACAGCTGACTGTTAGTCAAAATTGGTGGACAATAATTTACTTCGATGTTTATGTCCCCAATATTGGTCGTGAGAAAAATGAGAAGAAAGGCTTTGAGTAGGCGGATACAGTTAATATATAGAGGATCTGACATTCATGAAACAGCCACAAAGAGATGCAAGGTTAATTTTGTGTGAGAAACAACCAATCAGAAGACTGTGCTTTTCTGCTAACAATAGTCTATAATATGTACATGAAAATCTATAAATATGTGTTGATTTCCTTAATAAACGATCTGTTGACTGACTCTTGTATTCTGTTGTTACAGTAGTACATAGCGTCATACATTCAACAATTAGCATTTGAATAGTAGATAAGGATTTGGCGTTTAAAACGAAAGGCGACGGGCTCGTGTACCAGCGGGAACTACAAAGCCCTAAGTTTAATGTGCAACAAATTAGTATTACGCAAGTTGTTCTTGCATACACACAGCAGTACCGATATGGGAAACAGTATCGAACAGATACTACAGTCAAATGACCTAGAAATGACCAATCATACTCTTCTTCAACAGAATCCGTATGAGTTTTACGACCCATTAATCTCGATGAATAATTGACATTATGATGATGATAATAGTTACAACTCTAAACATTTGAAATTGATGTTGTCCATACTATTTCATTGAAAGTTCCAGACTTAGTCTACTCTAATCCAACCCCAACGCTTCTCTAACCCCAAAAATACTCTAGGCCGACCTCAATAGCAATCTAAACCTCACCATACCCTAACCGAAGCCCTACACTAACCTCAACCATAACCCTAACTCTAAATCGGAGTGAAACCCACAACGAAGACCATGAAAAGTATCCTTAGGTAACGCTGTGCAGTCTGATTAACTGGCTCAAGGTCATTCGATTGTAGCATCTATCCTATGCCGTTGTCGAATGATTGACTTTATGCATTTTCAAAACGTTGTACATAATCATCGAAAACCAGGGAGTACTGGACAGCTGTTAAACATCCTAGTTTGCAAATCATCGGCAGTACGCACCCACCTCTACGGTTCGAACCCAGGACCTTCCTGTTAGAGGGTCACGCTAAATCACGAATTGGTGGACGTTAGAATTGATGCGTTGGCCATTGAATTGGGTCGGGTCCCAGTGGCTGAATGGTATACGAGCAAGCTTACCTTGTAACTGGAAGGTCCTGGGTTCGAACCTCACTAAAGTGGCTGCGTACTGTTCATGATTCGCGAACTAGGAATAACCACTGGTTTTCAGTGGTTATCTAACTGATATCAATCCGTGATCAACTCGGAAAAACAAAACTTACTCTTACAAACCAACTATAGACATAATCATCGTTGCAAGTTTCACCATAATCTTAACCATAACCCAATCTTAATTCTACCCTCACCGTAACCCTGAATCTGGATGAAACTCCCGAGGAAGATTATGAAAAGCATTCACTTGTGATGTTCGACGATCTGATTGGATGGGTTCAAGGTCATTCGACCGTGAAATAAACAAATGACATTGAACAATCAACACTGTACAACGCTAACTAAGTCACAGGATGAATGAAGGTTAGAAAATATAAATTAAAGTACTATTCATCATCATTTAAATTGTTTATATCATAACCTACATGAATTTCCTTAGTGGGTTTTTCGAGAGAAAAAAATCTTTCACTTTGAATACTTGTACTACTCTTTTCGAATATAAGTACACAGTTTATCATTCAGTGAAGAAATAAACAAAGAATTACTCAAATACAACATAACAGATTACTCCTACTACTACTCTTGGTGTTTGAAATATCACACAGTAAGTATGGACAAACATAACATTCTCACCACACACACACACACATATACATGCAAATGAGAACTGATGATTTAAAAATCAACCGAGAAGTTAACTGATGGCATGGAGGATTTCATCATGAGCTGACATCAATTAGCGAACCACTGGGAAACCACCACTGGAGTACTGGACAGCCATATGTTTCGTCCTAGTTTGAGACTCTTCATCAGTATGTACCCACCGGGGAACGAACCCAGGATCCTCTGGTTACAAGGTGAGCTCACAAACGACTGCCCCTATTCAGGCAGTTAACCTGGGGTTCTAGAGGGCAGGTCGAAGGTGGGGACAGTTACTCATCGAAAAGACATTGTGAAATGGTCGCGCTATGTCGTGAATCGGACCAGGTCCCAGTGGCTCAAAGGTCTGCGAGCTAGCTCGCCTTGTAACCATAAGGTCCTGGGTCAGAACTCTGGTGTTGGGTGAGTATTGTGAAGAGCCCCAAACTAGGATGAAACAGCTGCCCAGTACTCACAGGTTTTCCAGTGGTTCTCTAACTGATGTCAGCTCATGATGAAATCCTCCATGTAATCCAACCAAATCTCTACAAAACGAATACTTAATAATTAACTGATTAACAACCGTTGTAGTAAATGAATACACTGAAGACAAATTGCTCCTTTCTA